GGTTCAAAATTACCAATGAAAAAAGAACACACAGTGTTAAAAAGTTGGGCTTTGGAATCAAGCAGACTTACATTCAAATCCACCTCTTAGTTTCTTCCAACTGTGTAACCTTAAACGAATGACTCAACCTTTCTGTGGCTCAGCTTCCTTGTCTGTAACTGGGGTTGATGAGGATCTTAGAATGACCTAGTATGTGTAAAGCCCAGGGCTCTGGTGATGGATGGCACAGCCGGCACACACCAAAGTTCTCTGTCAGGCCCACCCAGCACATGTTGGTTGTGCCCCTTCAGTAAGAAACAGGCCCTGTCCTTTCTTCTCTGCTCTCCTGTAGAGCCCCCCAGCATCCTGCTTGCCATCCCTCCCAGCTGCAGGGCAGCACTCCTTGAGATCCAACCAGATTTGAAAGTTCATGGGCTGCCCCCGCTTCTGCCCTGGGTCAGGGAAATCTCCACTTCCCGAGGTCTTATCTCTCACTGTGCTTGTGGTGAGTGACGAGGCCCAAAGCCAGGGCGAGCACCTGGACACGAAGCCAATCAGGTTCAGGAACGCCGAGGACGCGTGTGGACCCCGCAAGTCCCTCATTCTCAGGGAGCCAGCTCTGCCAACACCAACCACCACCACGCCAAACTTCCTCTCCGGCTGAAACACAGGGCACCAAGATGGGCTTTGAGAACAGTCCAGGCATCACATGGAGAACAGCAAACCAGAGGGCCAGCCAGGGTCTTGATGAGTGACAAAAGCAGCCAACCAAGGATACCCAAGAAGCCACCAAGTGAACCAGACAGAGGCCCTCACCTGTCATCACATCATTCTTGGGGGCTGACTCAGTAGGACTGTAAGTTCGAGGCCAGCCTGGGTGAATCAGCAAGTTAGCAAGATCCTATCTCAAAATAAAATATTAAAAAATAAAAAGGGTCAGGGATGTATCTCAGTACGAGGGCCAGGCTGGGCTCAAACTTGCAATCCTCCTGCCTCGTTTCCCAGAGCACTTGGGATAACAGGTATGAGCCACCATGTCTGGCTCAAGTCACTTTATAAAGTTACACACCAACTCAATATAAGCCAAACTGATTTAAAGAATCATCTGTAATAGCAATCTACATCCCTTAAACTCACCTCTTCAGTGTCTCTAAGTGTCAGACAAGGCCCCTGTCCTTCACTTTTGGGACCCAACTGTGACCACTCCCCACTGCTCCTGCCCCTTTCAAATACTTGTGGAGTTTCTACAGGTTTTGCTATTATTGATTTCTCATGTAATCCCATTCTAGTCAGAGAACATTCTTTATATGGTATGAATCCTTTTAAAGGTATGGAGACATGCTTTATGATCCAGAATAGGGATATCTTGGAAATACAGTTTGGATCTGTAATGTTCTCACTGACCATTGTATGAAAGAAACCTCCAAAACTGCAAACAAAAATAACCATTTCCTCTTTGTGAGTTGATTTATCTCAGGTGTTGGTTACCGTAATGGAAAGCTGACAGACATGCTTGGTCATGTTCTGGGCACACTTGAAGAGCGCATGCATGCTGCTGATGCTGGGTGGCGCCTTCCTCAAATCTGCTGGACCAAGTTGGCTGATGGTGCTGTTAGGTTTTCTACATCCTTGCTTATTTGTTCTCTAATTGTTCTAACAATTACTGAGGGGAATTAAAATCTATGAATATCATCATATTACAGGTTTGTGTATTTCTTCTTTCTGTTCTATAGTTTTACACCCACGTACGTTGAAACTGTTATTAGGTACATACTTATTAGGATGTCTATGTCTTTTTTATTAACTCCATTATTGTAAAATGACTTTTTTAGTTCCAGGTAATATTTCTTGTCCTGCCTGTAATTTTTTTTGTCTGACATTAATGATTCATTTCCAATTTCCACTAATTAGTGTTAGCATGGTACATTTTTTTCCCATCCTTTTACTTTTAATCTATGGGTGGATTTATATCTAAAGTGTGTTTTTTTACAGATAGTGTCTAGTTAGGTGTTCCTTTTTAATTCAGTCTAATAATCTTTGCCTTTTAATTGCAGTATTTACAGGACAATTAACACTGTGATTATTGATATGGCTGAGTTTCAATCCAAACCCAATCCAAGTCTTCCTAATTTATCCAATCTGTTCTTATTTCTCTCTTCTGCCTTGTAAAATTAAGAGTATTTCTTATAATTCCATTAGCAATAACTTTTAGAGACAATTTTAAGGCTTTTTTATTGGCTATATTTCAATTATCACAATCTACCTTACAGTAATATTATACCATTTCACAAATAAGAGCCTTACAACAGTATACTTCCCTTTTTTCCCTCTCAAACTTTGTACCATTGTTAGACAACTGACTCTCCATTTGTTGTAAACCCCATGAGACACCAATCAGATTTCAGTCTATAAAACAGAAATCAGTCACATGTCACTTAATACTAGAGGTCTGTTCTGAGAAACGCACTGCTAGATGACTTTATCATTATGGAAACATCACAGAAGGTATTTACACAAACTTAAATGGTACAGCCTATGACACACCTCCTCTACAGCATATATGCAGTCCATCACTGAACAGAATGTCATTATGTGTCCCACAACTGTATTCTAAGTATAAAGAATTTTAACACAGGGACTTAAGAGGCTGTGAACCATTGCTAGGAACCACTGCGCCCCCTGGGGAGTTAACCTAAAGCAGCATCTCTAGCCATCTCTGGCAGCACTAAAGCACAAGCTTCTCCTGACTCCTGGTGACTGACTGTGGCTACTGCTAAGCCACATGTTGGCATGACTCATACCTTCAGCTGGAAACGACCCGTGGGTGAAAGTCCCTCTCTCTTCAGCCCTCACATCTCCCAGGAGCATCTAACTGGCCGCCTACACACACACACACACACACACACACACACACACACACACACACACACACGAGCCCTGGGGAATTATGGTTCCAGACTTCTGTTGGGCAGGAGGGACACACGAAAGCGTTAGCCACAGTGGCCCACTGATGACAGGCATTTCAACCCAGTTAGCCTCCTCCAGGTTACAAGTCTTATGTTTTTATTTTGTTTTTCAACAGTCTGTTAAGGGCCAGATATATAGCTCAGCGGCACAAGTGCCTGCCTGGCAAGTGCAAGGTCCTGAGTTCAATTCCCTGTACCAGGGAAAAAACAAAACAAAACAATGACAGTCTGTTTACCAAACAGCAGTTAGAGCTCAAGCACATATTCCTGATCAAATATTTTTAATATTTGTTTGCTTTTTGACAAAAGGAGACAAGTATTTGATTATTTGGCTATTATTATGTTATTCTTATATTTCACCTTATTAGAATAAATATTTATGGTACTCCTAAGACTAACTACTGAATTCCTGCCTTCCACACAACCAGTAGGCCAGTAAGTTTCTGCTAGCTTCAAAAAATCCCCACAGTTAAACAGCTTTACTGTACGTAGCCAAATTGTTCTGGTCCTGTTATTAGTTAATGACATACAAACCTGTGCACTAACCCGGGCTTGTGGAGTGTCAGGGTACACTATGAACCGCCTTAGGGTTTGGTTTAGACATTGTTCCCTTGCAAAGCTGACCCACAGGTCAGGCACAGGGGGGCCA